CAATGCCTCTTCTCTCATCTCTCATTTTCAAGCAAAGGGCATCAGATCTGAAATGCAAGCAGCAGTGAGGAAAACAAGAAAAGGAAGAGTTTTGAAAGTCAACTCAGAAAACTGGCTGGAGGGCTTCTTCCACTAGAGTGTGAAGGGGCAGGTCTAGGACAAGGAGAAAACAAACTCTAGGCCAAGACTCGTCTCTGTCCAGCCCTGCCTGCCTGACTGGGAACGTGGGTTTAGTGGAGGGAACTGTCTTGTCCCTAAAATTTCCTGAAGGAAGAATATGGGCAAAGCCCAAGACAAACCACAACAAGGTGGGTCACAGCCCTGTTGGAGAAGCTGTTTACAGGGACCCCAAAACCTGGTGGGTTGGGGGGGAGGCAAGAGATGTGCTGCTCTGTGGATTCACCATTACCAGAGGGACCACCTGATAATTCTGGAAGGGAAGGTGAGGTCAAGGAAACCCAGCCCTGAGTGTGTGAAGGAAGGATGGGGGCCTTTTATGGGTAAGACATTGGAGAGATGCTGTATAGTGTGCAGAGCCAAAGGATATGAAGTGCCAGAGTTGGTGGTGTTAAGTTCACATCATGTTCCAGAGCAGTTGACACTCCTTGGAGGTAAACCAGAGTTGACCTACGTGGTATTTCTCAAGGCAGGGACTGAGTGGCCATTGGCCAATCAGCTGAGATGACCACCATGCCAGAGTTGGGTGAGTGACCAGTAGGAGTGCCGGGGCAAGAACATCCAAAAGAACCCTAGACCCCTTAACTGGTGAGGTGGCTTTTGTCCCAGGCCAGGCAGTAAGACAGCAATCCAGTCAAGGAGATAAATATAATGTGATTGGGGCAGGAAAACCAAGGGTTTACTTGGGATAGCAGGGCCTGAATAATCCATTATCTTTGGCTGGAAAGTAAAATATGAAGGGCAATGCAGGAACCCTGAAGTTATACCAGCTTTTGTCTAAAAATTGAGCCCACCATTTGTTTGCTGGGTGATCTTGGGTTAATGTATGAGTTTTCTGTGGCTGCTGTAACAAAGCACCACAATCTGGGTGACTTTTTTAAAAATAGGAATTTATTCTCTCCTTGTTCTGGAGGCCAGAAGTCTGAGATCAAGGTGTGAACAAAGTCAATGCCTTCTGGAGGCTCTGAGGGAGAACCTGTCTGAGGACTCCAAGTCTGGTGGCTCTGGCAGTCCTTGGTGTTCCCTGGCTCGCAGCTGGGTGACTTCAATCTCCACCTCTGTCTTCACGTGACCACCTTCTTTGTTTCTGTGTGTGGCCTCTCCTCTTCTCATAAGGACACTGGCCATAGGATTTGGGGCTAAATCACAAATCCAGGATAATTTCATTTCAAGATCCTTGACTAATCTCATCTGCAAAGACCCTCTTCCAAATAAGGTCACAGTCACTGGTACCAAGTTAACACAAAACTGGGGACAACACTATTCATTTAATCCAGTATAGTCATTTACTACACTTCTTTCAGTCTCTGTTCCATCTCCCATACAAGACAGAGAATAACACCTACTGGTAAGAGTCAAGTGAAAAAAAATGCCTGTAAAATACTTCAGATTATCTCACCCAAAATGTCAATAGTGCCAAGGTCGAGAAACCCATCAACTGAATTCCATCAGCCATTCTCTAATCTTAGCTTGGTGCCTGGTATATAGTAAATGCTTAATAGAAATCTGATCTCTTTTCTTCCCTTTAAATGGGGAGGGGCAGATGGGGATAAGGGTCAAAAGAACCAAGTACATTGTCCACTTGGAAATTTTTTGACAAGGTCCAGTGGGACTGTTTGACTATGAGTTGGCCCCAAAGGATAATGATTAAAAAACAAGCCTTCTATGCACAGAGATGTGGAGACAATGCAATTGTCCAGGGATTTAGGTTTGGACTAGTTTTATTTATACTTCCTTTTAAATATGTCTGGAAATTCAACTTCACAGATTAGTCTCTAGGCATGTATGGGACATGACACTGAACAACCACATCAGTGGACTCAAGAGACCTTCCAGAAGCCTCCCATTAAGGTCAGAGGAAGGTGTGGGAGTTCAGTTGAAAGATTTCTCAACCTTGGTGCTATTGAAATGTGCAGCTGTATAATTCTCTGTGTTGGGGGCCATCTTGTGCATTGTAGGGTGTTCAGCAGCATCCCTGGCCTCCACTCACGAGATGCCAGTAACACCTCCAACTGTGACAACCAAGAGTGCCTCCAGAGATTGCAAATATCTCCTGGGCAGGGAAAAGGACAAAAGCACCTCTAGTTGAGACCCACTGCGTTAAGCTAGTAGCAGGGGGATTGTCATGTAGAAGAACATTACTGAGAATGAACTTAAATTGGTAAATTTTTGCCATATAACTGGACAAGAGTTATAATGTTGACTAACATCAACAAAAAAAGCTAATGTGTATTGAGCAGTCTTATTAAATTCCAGACACCGAGCTAAGCACCCAACATGCATTGTCCAGCCATATGAAGGGGTTCCAGAAGTCACCCACCTGATCTTTTCTAATGTTTACATTTCTTCTACAATATGAATAATAGTTGTGAACCTAACAAAATTACCATACAGTTGTCACTGTGCTAAGCTTTTAAATTCATTGTCTCATTTAATGTTCATAGCTGTTCCTATGAAGAAGGTCTCATTTATCCCAATAGACAGATGAGGAAACTGAGCTCCAGAAAGGTTAAATAACCTGCCCAAGGTCACAAAGTCCCAAAGATATGATGAAGCTGAATTGACATTCAACTCTTGCTCTAAGCCCATCCAGAGTGTGTTCTCTTAATTATATGCCATACAATCCACACACACCACATTCCTTCTCCTTGGAATGACCTTTCTTTCTCTACACACCTAGAAAATAACCCCACCTGACTTTCAAAACTCACAGCAACGGTCCCCTCTTCTGCAAAGCACTTTCTGACACCCTCCAAGCAAGTTGGGGGTGAGGCCCCTAGAAACCCCCAGCATAATATACACTGTCCTAAAAGGGTTTGCTTACCTACTTGTACCTCCTATCAAACTCTAAGTTCTTTAGGGGCAATGCTAAGAGGTCTTTGTACCTCCAGCTCATATGTCATGGATTGAATAAGACAGGTGCTACCTCATAAAGCTCTCCATTCAACCATAATTGGCCTGTCTGGCTTCCACCCACAGCTAGACACAGACAGCTGGACCTTCTCTGTCCTTTAACAGCTAGATTCTGAGGGCAGCTGTCTTCTGTCCAGAGCTGCTGTCCTCAGCCACATCATGTTTTCTCTAGTAAGTTCCTAAAAGATCACTCTGTTTCTTTAGAAAAAGAACAAAATAGAAAAGAACATCTATTTCTATGAAAAAGTATATAGCTTATTTGTTTCTTTGTTTCTTGTGTTTCATGAGAGCAGGGGCTTTGTCCATCTTTTTCCCCACTGTGTAGCTTATGGCTCCTTCAGAGACTGGTACTTAGGAGGGGCTGAATTAATTTTCACTGAATGAATGGTTGGGGGTGGGATAATAACAGGCCTTTGTGTGATGAAAAATCAGAATAGGCAGTGATTTAAGGGGCAGACTTTAGGGCGGCATTGACATTGGTGAAACAGAGAGAGAGAGAGAGACAGAGCGAAGGGACAGTCAGCAGTTATGCAAGGAAAGGACCCTTAACCAAGTTTCATGATTAGAAGGAGCCAAGTCGGAAAAGATAAAAGATAGTCAAAGTAAGTAAAACCAATGATTTGGGCACCAGAGGGTCTTTTTCTTTTTTTAACCCTACCCAAGGACATGTGTTTTCATTGCTTTTAGAGAGAAAAGAAAGGAGAGATGGAAACATCAGTGTGAGAGATTTATGGTTGGTTGCCTTCTGCATGTGCCCAGACCTGGGACTGTACAAGCCCAGACGGGGATCGAACCCACAATCCTTCAGTTATGGGATGACACTCCAACCAACTGAGCCACACCATTCAGAGAAGATATTGAGTAGACACTGACCCAACATTGACCCTTCCTGGTCTCTGAGCAGCCCACCTCCTTTGGACATCTGGTAAAGCAAAGCTGTTCAAGGTCTATGCAAGGTTGAATCCTCCTGGTCTTAAAATGCTGGCTTCTCTATGCTTATCTGTACACATCTCTGTTCTTCCCCCATTGATGATGGCAACAGACCACTTTGGCCCAGAAGTTATCAGAAGTTGAAGATGATGTGTGTAAATAATATTCCAGGGCTATCTGCAAGGTGATGTTGAAGGTAAGAAGGTCACATATAAGTATTCTTAGTTAGGCACAGGCAGTCAGTCCATCCTGATCCTTCATCTTTGTCCACTGCATTCATTCAGCAGATTTTTATTGAGCACTTAATACTCTCCACTCCTACCCTATGAAGTTAAGCCTCAAAATGACATCTAATATTCTGGAAAACTTGCCATCCACCACCCCAGACCATTTGGTCCCAACCTCTGTCACTCATATGCCCCTTTACTGTATAGATGCCTTGAGTTCACATCCTAAATATCCCACCTGTGACTCTTTCCAGACATTGGCCCTCCCAATGAATTTGGAAATGAGAATTTCCTCATGGTTTTACATTTGATCCGTCTCCATCACCCCCTGTCATTTGACAAAGTCTCCCTACTTCAAATTCTAGTCTATTCAGAATCCTCCCTCTGCTTTGTCCCCAGGGTGTCTGGAACGATGTGTATTCCAATATTCCACTGGGGGTGATTTGCACTCTGTGGCTTGGGGACTCACAGTTTAACTGCAAGTACTAATGAATAGTGCTTGCCTGGAGGGTGAAGGCAAGAATTTTACAAAAAAAAATGGGAAGAGCAGGGCATCATTTAGCTGTTTTCCATCTCCTGGCCAGGTCAGGCACCATGAATCAGTCATGGTACTTCTTTTCCTACTGAGACTGTATGTGCTCATCATCCTTCTCAGGAGATTCCAGCAGTCCCTGTCTAATGGTTGCAGTTGGCACGTAAGGTGAAGCTACCCCGCACTGAGACTTCTTGCCAAATATTCAGTTCTCTCTGCAGATGAATGATGTCTCCCAGAGGATGGGGGAATCAAATCAATCAGTGACCTCAGACTTCACTCTCATGGGGCTCTTCAGCCACTCAGGGCCACATATGGTCCTATTTTCCCTCGTGGTAGTCATATTCACAATGGGCCTTCTGGGCAACGCCATCCTGCTCTTCCTGATCCAGACAAACTCCAGGCTCCACACACCCATGTACTTTCTGCTCAGCCAACTGTCCCTGTTGGATGTTGGCTTCCCCCTGGTCACCATCCCCAAGATGGCGGCTGACTTCCTCCAGGGAGAGAGTTCCATCTCTTTTGGGGGCTGTGCAGCTCAGATGTTCTTCCTGATGTTGTTGGGTGTCGCTGAGGGCGTTCTGCTGTCTCTTATGTCTTACGACCGCTACGTTGCTGTGTGCCACCTCCTCCATTATCCTGTGCTCATGAGACGTCAGGTGTGCCTGCTCATGGTGGGTACCTCCTGGACGTCAGGTGTACTTGTGGCCTCCATCCAGACCTCCATCACTCTGCACTTCCCCTACTGTGCCTCCCGCATCGTGGACCACTTCTTCTGTGAGCTGCCTGCTCTGCTGAAGCTCTCCTGTGCAGACACCTCTGCCTATGAGTTGGCGCTGTCCATCTCTGGGGTGCTGATCTTGCTGCTGCCCCTGTCCCTCATCGCCACCTCCTACGGCCACGTGTTGGGGGCCGTTCTCCGCATGCGCTCGGAGGAGGCCCGACAGAAGGCCTTCACCACCTGCTCCTCGCACATCACTGTGGTGGGGCTTTTTTATGGGGCAGCCGTGTTCATGTACATGGTGCCAGGAACATACCACAGCCCACAGCAGGATAATGTGGTCTCCCTCTTCTACAGTCTTGTCACCCCCACACTCAACCCCCTCATCTATAGCCTGAGGAACCAAGAAGTTCGAGTGGCTTTGGTCAAGGTCCTTGGCAGAAGTAGTTTCAGATCAAAGAGAAGACCCTACAGGGGACGCTGAGTTGGCCAGGGGACCCTCCTTTACATCTAAGACCTCTCTTTCATTTGCAGTCCATGTGGGGCAAGGCGTACTGCAGTCAGCTCCCTTCCTCCTCCGAGACTCACTTTTTCTGTTGTGGATTTGTAGGACAAAAACAGAGTGATCTCAGTCGCTTAGAAAGTAGGAGGGGTTGGGTTATTTAGTCCTAAGTAGAAGGAAATTTTTACTATAAGAAGGACAATCCAACGTCAGAGATGGGTCACAGCTCATGGATATTTTGGCCACCTGGTAGTGTTGGGCCTTACAGTCATTCTTATACATTTCTGCACAGTGAGTGAAGTGTTTGAGATCCAATCCTCAGAATCCAAGCAAGAAGGAGGACTCAGGGGGTGGTGCTCCGGCAGTGACACTGGTACTATCTTTGCTTGTGCTGGTTCTTAGCAGTGTCTTTGTCTGAGTCACATTTAGGTTTTACAACAGTGGAAGATTGTCGCCAGAGATGCCCCTGATTAGACAGCCCAGGCGTGTGTTACTTTTGCTGTCTCAACCACCACAGAGCAGACAGGTCACTCTTGAATGATTCGTCAGGGTGATGTATGATTAGATGTTGCCATTTGTAAGCTTCTGGTATCAGCACCAACCGGAACAAGAGTTAAGATTACTCAAGTAAGCATTTCCAGGGAAATGATCTATCCTTGTTCTTTATCTTTGCAGAGATGTTTATCTAATGAATCTTTGGATTAAGAATCACAGCCATTTCTGTTCATACAAAAGCTCAGTTGGCATGCCATCCTAAGCATTTTTTTAAAATCTTCACCCAAGGACATTTTAAAATTACTTTTAGAGAGAGAGAGGAAGGGCTAGAGAAAGGGCTAAAGAGCAATGCTAGAATCATCAATTGATTGCCTCTCGTACACACCTGGACCAGGGACCACATGCTCCCAATGGGGAATTCAGTGCCTCCCAAAGGCACTCAGGTGGGAGACTGATCCCAGGTATGTGCCCTGACCAGGAATTGAACCTGAAACCTTCTGGTACGGGATGATGCTCCAGCCAGCTGAGCCACACCAGCCAGAGCCAGCTGGATTTACTTTTTAGACATTTCATGGACATTGCAGAGAAAGCCACATTCAGAGGGGAAAATGAAGAGCCTGGTTGCCACTCCTCCTCTTCCCTCCTCTACACCGTCGCCCTGTCAGGAGGCCTGGGTCACTCACCTCCCCCCCTCTTCTTCCTGCGAACACACAGTTGAGATGTCTAGAAGATGAACTGCTTCATCTTAAAGTGTGCATGCTTTTCATTTAACAGATATTCCCAAATTACCCTGCAAAGATTGCCATCCATGGATGGGAGTTTTCACTTTCCCAAATACGTCACCGTTTTGAATGATAAAACTTCACATTTTTGTCAGTTTTCTGGAGGAAAACTATATTTCTTTATTGTATTACTTTTAATATATCCCTGATTTTTAGTGAGGACACACATCTTTTCATAAGTTTATTAGATGTTCAAATTTTCTTGACTATGGATTTCTTGTAAAAAGTATGCAGAACAAATCATGAAAATACTAATCATAAAAAAGTTGGTGTGTTCTAGATGGTGTAGCTCAGTTGGTGGGAGCATTATCCCATAGACCAAAAGGTTATGAGGTTTGATCCCTGGCCAGGGCACATGCCTAGGTTGCTGGTTGGGTTCCCACTTGGGGTGTGTGCAAGAGGCAACCAATCAATGTTTCTCTCTCACATTGATGTTTCTCTCTCTCTCCCTCCTCCTTTCCCCCTCTAAAAATCAATAAACATGTCCTCTGGTGAGGGTTAAAAGAAATAAAGAAAATAACTGGTGTGTAGTGTATACAGGGTAGATAGGTGAACAAAGGAATGATTCTCATTCTGAGAGGGGTGGAGCAGGACAGAGCAAGATTTCATCCCCCTCGCTACTCAGAATGGTGCGTAATTTAAAAGGTACGGATTGTTTATTTCTGGAATTCTCCATTTAATATTTTTGGACTGCGGTTGTCGAAGGGTAACTAAAGCAGAAAGGGAAACTGCAGATAAAGGGGACTATTGTATTAATACCAGACAAAGCACACTCAAAAATAAGGGTAGTTATTAGAGGTAAAGAACATTTCATAATGATAAGAAGGTCAATTCATTAAGAAGATAGACATATCTTTTTTTATATTTATAAGATATACATATTATAAAGATATATCTTTACATATAAATATGTAAATATGCAGAGTATATGTATATGTTATAGGTGAATTCATTCCATTCACATTAAACCTTAACTGTTCCGTGCATGTACTCCAAACCAATAGTTAGGGGGCGCTAGCGTTTCAAAATCAGGTATGTCGGTCCCAAGATTCTCCAAAGTTCAAATTTTGCCATGGGAATGCTGCCATTGTACGACTTTTGAGGAAAGTTCTTCTCAGGATAAGTGACTCAGCGATCCGCATCTCTCACCACCCCGGGATCAGTAGAAGTGGATGAAAGAGAATAAGAACTGATGAATGCTGCTTGCTTTCCTCAAGAGGTCACGTCTCGCAGCGATTCCACCTAGGGCGGACAGTTATTTGTCATCTGGGTCTCTAACAAGGTACTCAGGGACTAGGATATGAGCACTCAAGTTTCTTCCTGAGGGACTGCATACCTACCTTCCTATCACTTGAAGGCTCAGACCCCATTCTCCACGCAACCCAGCTTACCACTCACCAGATACATCCAGATCCAGAAAGCAGAACTGTAGAGGGCACCCTGAGCTTGGTGCCTGACACCATAGCTTACCTGCCAGATAAGTGGGGAGAGGGGAAAACAGGTGGATGCAGACGGTAAGACCAAGAGTTCTGGAGTCAATCAAACGTGCTGTGTGACACTGGGCAAGTGACTTTGCCTCTCTGAGCCCTGACACTTTGTCTTCATATTAGATGTATAAACAGGACCAGAAAGTCTTCATATATGTAAGCGTACTGGCTCCAATATCAAAATGTTTAACAAGAGTGGCCTTCGGGACCAAGAGGACCTGAGCGATTTGACCTTTCTGTGCCTCAAAATCTTCCTCTGAAGAATAGGAATAACGGCAAAATAAATAAAAGAATGAAGAGGGAACTTTGGGTACAAAGGCAGAGAAGTGTGTAAAAGGAATGTTGTATCGGGGGAGAAGAGCACTTCTTTCTAATTGTAACTTGGGTTTCTTGGAGATAGGACAACTGTGAGAGAAGAGGAGGAGGAGGCCATGGATGGCTTTAAGTTGATTTTTCCGCAGCCCCAAACTGAGTTTGATCTACATGCCTGCAGGGTGCGTTTCCCAGTTTGGACGCTGTGGGGCGCTGGTACATCGCCGCACCAGTAGGTTTTTTCTGAGGTTGTTCAAGACCAGGAAAAAATTAAAAACAAATCTAATGTTTGAAAAAAAAAAGTGTGTTAAATCAAAATTAAAACTTTCGAATGAAATTTCTTTGTAGGCCAACATGACATCAACTTCATTCATTGTTGGCATAACGTTTTCCCCAAAACGTTATTACATTGAAAAGTTAACTGGGTTAGACGTCCTCCATTTGCAAGAATTCCTGGAGGTGCACAATAAATAAATGAGTTTTTTATGCCATGTAAATAATTTCAAAAGAAAAAATATAACCATTCTTTCTACTTTAAAAAATATTTTATTTATTTATTTTTAGAGGGAAAGGGAAGGAGAAAGAGTAGGAGAGAAACATCAATGTGTGGTTGCCTCTCATGTGTCCCCTACTGGGGACCTGGTGGGCAACCCAGGCAAGTGTCATGACTGGGAGTCAAACCAGCGACCCTTTGCTTCACAGGCCCATGCTTAACCATTTTATCTACATTAAAAAATTTTTTTTATTGATTATGCTGTTACAGTTGTTCTATTCCCCCCTTCATTCTCCTCCACCCTACTCCCCCATCCCCACCATTACCCCCCCTTTAGTTTATGACCATGTGTCTCAAGTCCTTTAGATTCTATATTTCCCATGCTATTCTTGTCCCCCCATCTATTTTCTATCTACTGTCTATGCTACTTATTTTCTGTACCTTCTCCCCCCTTCTCCTCCTCCCACTCCCCTGTTGCTAACCCTCCTTGAGATCTTCATTTCTATGTTTCCACTCCTGATCTAGCTGTCCTTTTAGTTTGCTTTTGTTTTAGGTGTGGTTGTTAATAACTGTGAGTTTGTTGTCCTTTCACTGTTCATGTTTCTTTAACTTCTTTTTCTTAGATAAGTCCCTTTAACATTTCATATAATAAGGGCTTAGTGATGATGAACTCCTTGAATTTGATCTTATCTGAGAAGCACTTTATCTGTCCTTCCATTCTAAATGAAAGTTTTGCTGGATAGAGCAATCTTGGTTGTAGGTCTTTGGATTTCATGACTTGGAATACCTCTTTCCAGCCCCTTCTTGCCTGGAAGGTCTCTTTTGAGAAATCAGCTGACAGTCTAATGGGGACTCCTTTGTAGGTGACTGTCCCCTTAGCTCTTGCTGCTTCTAGGATTCTCTCCTTCATTTTAATTTTGGCTAATGTAATTATGATGTGCCTTGGTGTGTTTCTTCTTGGGTCCAACTTCTTTGGGACTCTCTGAGCTTCATGCATTTCCTGGAAGTCTATTTCCTTTGCCAGATTGGGGAAATTCTCCTTTATTATTTGTGCAAATAAGTTTTCCACTGGTGGCTGTGCCTTTCCCCCTTGTGGTACCCCTATAATTCGGATGTTGGAGCGTTTAAAGATGTCCTGGAGGTTCCTAAGACTCTCCTCATTTCTTTGAATTCTTGCTTCCTGACTCTTTTCTGTTTGGCCATTATTTGCTTTCTTCTGGTCCACTCCATTGATCTGAGTCCCAGTTTCCTTTTCATTGCTATTGGTTTCCTGTGCAATTCCATTCATTTCAATTAGTTTCGCCTTCATATATTTGTCTAATTTGTGGCTATAATCAACCAGTTCTGTGAGGATCCTGATGACCAGTGTTTTAAACTGTGCGTCTGAGAGTTTTGCTATTTCTTCATTGCTTAGATCTATGGGCTCTGGAGCTTTGAGATCTTGCGACATTTTTGGTCTGTTCTGGCCCTTTAAGTGTGAGAAGCGGTGCCTTGGACTCCCAGGTCGCTGGGTTGTGACCCTGTATGTGGGGCGTGGTC